AAAAAAAAAAACTACATTTGATGCAAAATATTCGACAGGCGTATTCACAAAAACTCAGATGCTGCTGAAGACATTCTGATGCCCACAACTGACCGTTTTCCCACATGGCGTAGAGGAGCAATAAATTTTCATAAATAACCATAAAGGTAGTATATCCAGGAAAAATTAGAAACAGCAATCACTTTGTGGATAATCAATGCACTTATTTGGATAATTATTAAAATTTCGTTGACCATCCCAAGTGACAGCACGATTTACTTCCCGAAAGTTCCTACTAGCTTGTAGAGGCGGCGAAATGTACTTTGGCCAACGGAATGTGCGATATTTTGGAAAAAGATGTCAAATCGAGGTGGATGATTCACAGCCACGGCCTTGCACATTTAAAAGTTAAAAGCCAAAAACCCTCCGTATGTCGCCGTCAATGAAAGTCGGGTGCATTCACGAAGTAGCCCAAGTGATAGCAAATGCCAACAGCAAATGGCGATACCTGCTGGCAAGGGTGTCAATGGCTCCCTGTTCTGAAGCAGACTATGACGGGTTTGACTCCCCGGCATATACCAGTATCAAATTATCATTGAAATGAATCATAGAGGGACTGGTTGTCCTACCGGCAGAGTCAAACCTTCGACCTACAACACGACAATAGTGCTAGCCAATTGTTCCACACCTGCCGCGCATATTTATAGCTGATTCGATGGTGGTTGGTTATTATATGTTAAATGGCATATTTAAAAGCGTTAAAAATTTCGGCACTGCATGCGAGATGGAAGCTATTAAAGCAGCCAAAAAATGAGCTCCGAAAAGTGACCACTAACATAAACGGTCTGTTTATTGATCGAAATTCATTTAAAATTTATTATGTTCCTGAAAACTCTCGTCACCAGACAACAAATTTACCAAAAAAACACCCAGGCTGGAATGCACCAGGCTCTCCGGTGCCATCATGCGTTTTTGCACTAAACTCGCTGATTGCTATTAGCAGGGCTGATCCCTACGCTGTAGCCTAACACTTGGGTCATACTGGCGTGCTTTGATACTTTTCGGTATGCAGGAGGAAAGGCATCAGTTGGGATGAGGGTGGTGCATTATAGAGCCGCATGAACATCCAGGTGTATGATTACCGGTTTTTGCATGAAGCCTGGTCGTTTTTTCGGCAAATGCTCGCATTGTGAAAAAATGACAAATGCAAATTTCCAGTTCACTAGAAAGTGGAAGTATTGATCGAGCGGTCGTTTGTCAAAAAATCCATGTATGCAAATTAACTAATGTTCATTTACATTTTTTGGGGGCCGAGTTGCGAACGATTTTTGTGTTGAGGGGCTGCTTGAGGCTGTGGTTGGGGAGCTCCACAGCTGAGTTTAAAATCTTTAGCTCACAAGTGCATAGAGAATACCCCTGCAAAGTTTCAGTTTTTTATCTTGCCTGGTTCGCGAAATCATTTCCCGCCAACATATTTTTTAGGGGTCCCGTACGCGGGGTCTGGGCGCGTATGGGAAAAGATCTTACAACGGGAGGATGACACACGGGGTAGGAACATATATCCAAAGTTTCAGCCTCCCAACTTTCCTGGTTTCTGAGATGAAACTGTGTGACAAAATGCACTCGCTTCCGAACACACACACATAGAGACAGTCTCTCGACAATATGCGTTTTTGCTTAGCGCTGCACAGCAAAAACGCAGAAAAATTGACGGTCCATAGACGTTAAAAAATTGTGAATTTAAAAAAAAGATCCTAGCTACACATTGGTTGAATCTG